AATGATCCAACCATACCGAAGATATCGAATTAAAAGAAAACGACGACTTTTGTCTAAACTAAATTCAAACGTGATATCCCAATGTCAGGCAATAAAAGCATGCCAAAACACGTTGAAGCACGGTTTTCGAAAGCTATTTACTAGGTATAAAATCTCGTGTTCATAAAATATACCGCCGATTATGTCATATCAATGTTCCTGGTGATATTTATATCTTTCTATATATTTATAATTATTTTATTCAAATATGTAATTAGTAATATTATGTAATTGTTAAGCGCGCACTATTACGTTAAAGTATATCATACATGTACAGTAATGTAGATGCAAGGAGAAACAATTTTCTAGTCAATACACCAATCTCCATTTTTATGTCTGTTGTATGCAGATACAGGAGAGGTAACGTTTGATGTACGTCGTGTATATATGTAATGACTGCATGTAAAATTTGAATACAATCTTTCTTTGAGTCTATATTAATGTTCAATATGTTTCTTGTCTCCAGCGTTTCAGTCATTGCATCATTGAAACGCAAAAATCAAGAGAAATCTGTCTATTTATATCCCTCATTATTTTATTAATATTATGTCTGTCGATATTTAGTTCTACAACAATAACATTGTCGTTAAGAATTTAACTTCAGGGTGATTAGCTATACGTGATTCAAATAATTTCACGAATAACAATCAATTTGCTTTATTATTATTATTTGTGCATAATGTGAGTATAATCTTAAACTATCATAAACACTACGAGATGTAAGATTTCTGCGATGCTTTCTGTTACATTATGCTGCTAATTCTGTTCTTTTTGATACTGAATTCGGTCTATACTTCTTATATTATAAATTATACACAGATTTATAATGTAGCACATGAAATCGTGTATAATTATATAATTATATGATACGTCTAATTATATAATTATATAATTATTGACAGATATTCTTGACATCTTCGTATATGTATATATATACATATATGTATATATATATATATAAATTTTTTCCAAAACTTTCAAGAATTGTAATCTAGATGTATAGATTAAAAAATTGCTTTAAAAACATAATAGTAATTCATCATAATTAAAACATAAAATATATAATCAGGAGGGAGAGAAGAATGTGTAAATAAAAGATTTAAAATAAAATTTAAAAAATATTTTTTAAATCTCAAAAATAGTAAAGATAAACAGAGATCATAAATTCCACATATTGACGATACAGAATAAATCAATGAATTATTAATCACAAATATATTGCTCTTAAATATTATATTGTAATAATAAATTGTGAAATAATATTTTGTACGTAAAAGATACGAGTCTCATTATATACACAGAGGTCGTACAATCACGTTATGGAGAGACTTGGTATTCATTTGGAAGTATTAATAGAAACTATACAGTAATCACAAGACTATTATGCTCACTGATATTTCCTTGACATTTGATTTTTTTTTTAACTTTAGACTTTAAATCTAAATGAATGTACTAACAAAATCGCACATATGCAACACCTTTGTTCACAGATTCTTTTTTTTTGTGAACAATGAATCAGAACGGTAATTCCAAAAATCTAAAAGTATTTAATTTCATCTCTATATACCAACAGGCATATATTCATTTGTGAAACATTGTAAAGTATTATATTATAGCGGCTTATGCTACGTATCGCGGAATAACTATTATTTATCTATTCAGTATCTTTTAAGATATTTTGTATTTTTTCTTTTTTTTTTGTTGGTTGCGAGATACCTCACAACCTTAAATTTTGTGTATATGCTATTTAAATTAATCCGGTGGTAGAAAGCTGAATAGTCGGAACTGTTCTCTAATGCGTGGCCTTACGTCACCTCCCTGCAATATAAAAATGATTTAAAAAATTACTAAATAACTGTATTCTAAAAATAAATATATCAGAGAATATATATGATAAGAGCTTACCCAGTTTACCAGATTTTCTAAAAATGGTAATAATTTCATTAGTTCGTTATCTGAACGATCGGCAAACCAACTTTCTATAGGTATACCATTTTCTAGCTATAACACAAAATACATGGTTTTCATAAGTATATATTCTATATTAGTAATCGTATCCATATGTATGTATATATAAATGACAAGCCATATTATATTAAGTTACCTGATATCCAAATGCTTGTGGGCTGTTGTCAATAATGACGGTTTTAGATAGATCCCTGCCTAAGATGGACAAGTCCTTTATGTAATTTCCATTAACGCATACACAGTGTTCCCTGAACAAACGATACTTGATCAGCTTTCGTGTTGGATCCAGTAGATTCATCAGTTTGTTGGCATACACTCGCTTGCTCGCCGTGAATAAAATCACCTCGTAGAGCGACGAGACATGTTCGAGGAATTCGCGGAAATACGGTCGCGTTCTAACGAATACCGTGTATGTTACGTCTTGAAAGACTACTGGGAAGCGAAATGCCGCGTCAGATAGTTCTTGCAGACTGCAGTGAACCAATGTTTCATCCTGCAAAAGGATCATAGATAAATGTAGCTGTTAATCACTGCTCGTATATTTCGTAAATGTATATATAAAGACGGAAATGTTATGAATTTTATCATGTAGAAAATAAAAATAACATAGGACAACATGATCTGAACCTGTGTTTAAATATTTAGACAATGTCTAATAAATGTATGTGTTAAGATTTTTATTAAGATTTTTATTTGCGTATATATGTGTACTTGTTCCGAGTGTGTTGAGCGAGCATACCAAATCCAGGACCAGACTGAATTCCGGACTACTCCGTGTTTTGAGTGGTAGAGCCGGACATCTCGCTCTCATCGCCGGCGTAAGGGGCGGTAAGTGTTTGATGAAGACATAAGGATCGAATGGCTCCCAATCTTCCTGAACTTGAGTGACCATGTTCTCTACATCGCAAGATTCTACTATCTCTTCGCTACCCACCTCCATGTATTCAACCTCGTGATAACGACTGCCGACGTCCTCGGAATCATATTTGTCACTAAGATTGCCATTCGTATCAGATGGATGATGAGGATTTATATTGTACATACTTGCTGGTATACTGTATTTTGTACTGGGATATCCAGCAGTTGTTTCATATTTTGTTGGGTCTGTTTCAATAGCATATTGATCTTTTGGGAGATCACTGCGGTTTTCATTGTTATCGATTAGCGAATACTTTCCTCCGTTCGGGAAGTATTTGTCGGACGAGTTGTACGCGGTACGGACGTTATATATCGACGTTGAGTGCATCAAACTGTAATATTCTGCAGAAGTTTCGGCATGCGCGTATAAGGAGGAGTAGTGTATCGATGATGGTAGTGTAGTATCTATAAGAAAAAAAAGGAAGAGAAAGATAAAATGTAAAAATATAAATTAGAATTAATTTGATTACACAAGCATATGTAAGTATACCGTTGTTCTTGCTTCCTTCATCATCAAGCAAGCATGCGAGATCTGACTGCGATCCTAGAGATACCGGAGGCATTAGACACGTCAGCGAAGATACACTTGGTATGGAAGATTTCAAGTCATGTACCGGCGGTATCATCAAACCTCGCGAGTCTGTATTCGTTACTGACGAGAAAAGAGGCAGAGTAGATCCGCCATTCCAATTTTCCTTGGACTCCTCCGAAACTTTAGATGGCGACGCGTTTTTAGCAGACTAGAAAACGCACGTATTACATTGTAATAATTTATGCCTAATTTCTTCACTTCCAGATAAATTGCGGATAACTTTATCCAGGAGATATCTCCATTGTAACGTGCAAGATAAAGTCCTGGATGAAGTTCTATAATCTAAAGGTGAAGAAATTGGGTATAAGTGATACAGCTATCTTCATCATAGAGCAACTTACAATAACTGTGTCAATTGGTGGAGCCCGATGCAAAGGGGTCGATGTAACCATCGAACGTTTTATGCATTTTCTTCTGCGAGGTCCTCTTTCCCGTCTAATAGGCGTGGATTTGGCAAAGTGTAAAACATTTTCTTTACAAGCCTATGAAAATAATAATCTTTTTAATGGAATAAAAAAAAAAATGCAAAAATAGCCTGTTGAGAGTACAAAAGCACACGATATCATAGTACATATGACATGAACAAGAATTTCTTTTAAATCTTTTATCTTTGGTAGACATTTAACTTACTTCTTTTAAAAAATTGGATGATCTACGTCGCCACTGACTCAATCGGCTGCATTTACTTGACGTTATTACTCGACTACTGTTACTAATATGTTGTACTTTTCTTGCAACTTGCGCTCGTTGGCCAGTTGCCTTTGACGCCGTTACACCGCTTAAACTTAAACGGCCACGCAATCTCCTGCTAATCCGTTCACTTCTCAGCCACATTTCAACAAAGTTGTTAAGTGTCCTGAAATGGTACAATACTACTATTCTTGAAGAATTTTTACAGGAAAAAAGATAAACGTAAAAGGTAAACGTAAGTAAAACATATATCTAATAAGGTTATGCTTGATGCAAAACATGTATTAAAATACTTGTATTAATTACTTTGCTTCTAAAAATCATATTTTTGGGAGAAATATTATCTATTTGGGATTTATTAAAAATTGCGATAAAAATTGAAGATTTTAATATACCTATTTTTAAAAAGAAAATAATTTTATTTCTATATTAAAAATTTCTTAAAATTTTCAATTTCTCTCACAATTTTCCGAAATAATTAAAGATGGATGGATATATTCATATCAAAAATCGTTATTTATTTGGACCTGAGCGTTTTTGGATCTTTCAAGTGTCGTCGATGTCGCGGCGTCCGGCAGCTAGAAGCCAAACGGAGTAATCACGGGCTCCGAGGAGGTTTCAAAGAGCCGAGATCGGCGAGATCTCGCGAGACGTCAGCGCGCGGGACGTTTCGCGCCGGCTAAGATCGCGCGGGAAAGAAGTTCGATCGTTTCATAAAAAG